AAACAGCCAACGGGGACAGTATTTATTTGTGTGATTGGGATGCCAGTTCATTTCCTACTGGGTTCTGGCCAGCCATAAGGTTGTGGGCTCTGAGCCTGATTCTTCCTTGGCCAGCATCTTCCAGAGTCGCTTACGTCAGTGCGAAGTGGGTATGAAGGGCGACCATTGTGCAGGGCAAGAATGAACTGGGCCCAAAATCTTGGAGGTGGTGGTTTCCATAGTGCCTAGGAGCCCTGGTCCTGGATCAAGGACCTGTTTGATGGGTCTCTGATGGGATCACTTTCTCAAAGAAAGGTCTGGATTTTGTACTGATTCCTTTGCCTCAAATCTGAAGGACACCCTAAGGCTACATCTGTACTACGAGATAGGGGTATAATTTCCCCTGCTCAAGTGCATGTACGCAAGCAGCTCTCATTAAGCTAGCACAAGTATAAAGAGCAGTCGAGTTGTGGTAGCCTGGGTAGCAGCTGTGAAGGCACAGCTGAGCCATGCCAAGTACCCACTGGTTTCAGGGGAGGTTGTATGTACTCTGATCAGCCCAGTTGTGTCTGTGCTGCCGTTGTCTGTCCAACCACAGCTGTGCTATTTAGACTCATGCTAGAGCTAGTGTGAGAATGTGTACATAAGCAGGAGAATCACACTTAGGCTACATCTACACTACAGGCTGTGTAAACTTCACACTTACATCTGAAAATGTTCTACCTACTGTTACAAGGGGCACCTAATATCACTGTAATTTAATATTTTTTTCGGGGGGGGGGGGGGAGAATTTCCCCAGTTTAGTTACTCTGCATCTGACTGCACTTTTGTATATTGTCAGTTTCAGTGTTTCCCAATTTACAGCATGGCCACATGGCCAGGTAGGCTTTGTCTAGATGAGAATTTTTGGCCATGCTGTAAATTTAACTGATTTCCAGTTAATTTGAGCTGTGTAACATGATTGTAAATGCTGACCTAGACACTCTTCAAATATTTACTCCTGGTCTTGGTTCACCCTGGGCTGCAGCACAACCAGAAACAAATTTTATAGAACATCTAGATTCAGGATTCTAGTGTTCATTACATCAATAAATTTGAGTTATGACATGACCAAAATTTCTGCATTAAGACTTACCCAAAACTTTCCCATGTAGGTATATCCTTAAATGATTGAAATTGATATAGTTATACCAGTATTACCCCAAATGCAGAAATGTTCATTATGGTATAAGCATGCCTTTTTTGGTCTTTGCTTATATCACTTGGGAAGGGGATTCAGTTAAATCAAATAAGCCACACTTATGTCAGAAGAAGGCCTGGTCTAAACAGTTTTTCTGCCTGTATAACTACTGCAAGGTCATACATCTAGGAACAAGGAATGTTGGCCATACCTACAGAATGAGGGACTGTCTCCTGGAAAGCAGTGACTATAAAAAAGATTTAGGGGTCACAGTGATCAAGAGGTGCAGTGATCAGTGTGTAAGTACTTTCACAGGTAGCAAATACTAAGTACTAAAAGATTCTTTACTCTACCAGAGACGGGCATGACAAGAACCAATGTCTGGAAATAAAAGCCAGACAAATGCAAATTAGAAATAAAATGCAATTTTTTTTTAAACAGAGGGTGATTAACCACTGAACCAAGGGAAGCAGTGAATTCTGCATGTCTTGATGTCTTCAGATCAAGACCAGATGCCTTTCTGGAAGATATGCTTTTAGTTAAACACAAGTTATTGGGCACAATAAAGGGGTAACTGGCTGAAATTTAAAGGTCTACGTTATACAGACATTCAGACTTTATGATCCAGTGGTCCCTTCTGGCCTGAAAATCTATTAATCTATGCATTTGGCTATGAAGTTTCTTTTTTTAAAGAAAACTGAAATAGTTATATTAGTATAACAGCTCGTGTGGAACTAGTTATACTAGTAGAAATGTGTGTATAAGGGTATAGCCTATTCTCCTACCTGCATAAGCTATAGTGATATAGCCACTCTTGTACTGGTATAACTGAATCCATGCTGGGGATTGTACTATTTTATACTGGGATAGTGAAAGCATCACAAGTTTTTGCATGTAGACAAGGACTAGGAGTGTCCACTCTGGGGGTGGGGTGGGTTATATCTATATCTGTATAACTGTTAAATCTTTCCAATGAAAACAAGGTCTTAGTCAGTTTCTCTCAATGTTTCTGTGTGGGTCTCTTCACACAGCAAGCGGGGTGAGAAAAACATTTACAAAAAATAAGAGAAAATGATCATACCTCCCTCCCCATATGGCTGGGAACACAGGGGCAGGGTCTATGTCTATATTGAACTTGTTTGTTAGTGGATTACATATCAATTTGATGCTGTCCCTTTAACTTGTTCATTGATGCATTAGCTTTATCAGGATAGAAGTGTCTCTGATGGGATCACTTTCTCAAAGAAAGGTCTGGATTTTGCTCTTTGATGTCTAGGACACCCTGGATTCTGGCCTGAACAAAAGGCATTAAGTAATAAGAAGCAGGCTGTAGTTAGAGCATGGCAACAGAAATGAAACGAGCATGTACATCACTGATCATAACAATTATTTTGAAAGAAGCACTGATCCCTCATGGCATTCTGAATGAATCCCACTTTAAAAAAAACACCTTCTCTCCTCTATTTCCTGTGTTTCAATCCCCTGCTGTTACTAATAAGAGGTGTGTTCTTGAAAACAGAATCTTCGTTTCATCAGTTTTCCTGCTCCAACCACACACTGTTTCCAAAACTACAGTGATTTGAGTAAGATGACTGACTTCACCCTCCCCAAATGTCTGTTCACTTGTCTGTATGAAAGGCATTGGTGGTCTCAGTTCACTTCCTGCTGGACACAAATGAATATTTCCTAAATTTAAAATAATTAAACAATGACATTTTTCAAAGCCCCATGCAATGAAGAGCTATCCAAGCCTACACCCATATGTGCAGATGCAGTGATTGCATAGATCAGTACCAATGTGTACATGCAATTATCTGATCTTCTTTTGCATGCACAAATGGTCAGATTCAGTACATTGAACTGGTGCATGCGGTATGAATGGCTCAATGGTCATTTCTTTATACTAACTTCTTTGTTAGATAGAGGCAGGCCTACTGCTAGCTATAGAGTGGGGAAGGCAATAAATAAATAAATACATCCATAACAACAGAGGGGTACTCTTCCTCAAGGATATGTTGAATATTTCCTATGGCTTAGAAGATTTTAAAATATTTTGGAACACAAGGCCAAAAAAGTATGGGCCAGAACCAAAGCTGGTGTAAATCAAAGGAGCTAGTTTGATGTCAATGGAATGCCAATTTATACCAGCTGGAAGTCAGGCCCATTGTTTTCTATGGAACTCTATTGCTCTGCCCCATTGACTTCCATGTAGCAAAGCTGATTGACACCAGCTGGGGCTCTGGCCCTCTCTCTCTGGAATTCTGTACTAGGGTCAGTTGTCAGGGTGAGAAATTACATTCTGTAAAAATGCTAATAAGTGCACCCCAAATCCAAGCACTCTTGTATTTCCCATTAAGTGCACATGGAAACATGCACTCCCTGGCCAGGGCTGACCCTGGGCATCCCTCGATGGGGCCTCTCTATAATGCATGGGGGCAGCAGAACAGGTAGCATAGCCCCAGCCTGTATAAATCTTTCTACCTAATCTCTGCTGAGCCAAGAGGAGATGATCTGTATCCTTCACTCTATCTACGTAGGCCTACCCACTCCTTATCCCCTCCCCTTACGTGAATTCCAGCCCTTGAAGTATGCAGAGAAAGGGGAAACAATGCAGCAAAGACAGCTTAACACCTTCTTCTATAAGGGAAGGGTGGGATGCTTCACCCATCAATCTTGGGGTGTGTGTGTGTATGATTTGGCCTCTGTTATTTCTTGTTCATATAGTCTAAACTACCCTCCAAACATTGTCATAGAGAACTTGATTTCCTGCTCCAAAGCCCATTGAAATCAATGGGAGTCTTTCCACTGATTTTACTGAATACTGGACCCATGCATGAGATGTTTGAACTCATAGGTTACTTTTATTAACTCTCCTACAAAAATTAGAGGGGCAGATCTTGAAGCTACATGAATGCGGAAGGATGGCCCAATAGCTAGACCACTTGCTGGTGACCCAGAAAAGTTGGGTTTGGTTTTGTGCTCTATCACAGATACCCTGTGTGATCTTAAACAAATCAATATGCGAAAGTACACTAGGGAACTGTTATTGCACACAATCAGCTGCTACATGGACCAACTAATGGGTAACACATTAGTGCTCTTTAAAAATCACACTCTTGTATGTGCTCATTACCTCACTGTGGAGACAAGCCCTAAGTCTCTGTGCTTCAGGCCCTATTTTCTAAAAGGGAGTTGATATCACTTCCCTACCTCCTGGGGGTGTTGTGAGGATAAGCAACTTAAAAATTGTGAGGTGTTCAGATACTTGGCTCCCATAGTACCATAGTAAAATAATACATTGTTAAATAGTTGACTGAGCAAAGAGTGGCCCTAGACATGACTCAATAAAATTTGTTGTTCTGTAACGCAATAAGCTCTGAAAACCACATCCAATTAATTACAAAATTTCAGGGAATGGTCTAGGCATGAACGGATACTATTCACTTGATTTGGGTGAAAATCAGAAAAACCTGAGTTCCATTAAAATGACCATTCAGCCACTCAGGGGTGAAGCAGTGATTTTTAGGGTGAGTGGGCCTCATCGAACTCTAATGACTTCCCCCTGTCCCCACTCCATCCAAGCACCTTGACACATCAGTCTGGTCAGAATCCTACTGACATTGGTGAAAACTGAACAGCTTGATTTTAGTGGAAAGAAAAATTGATTGCTTGTTTAGATAATCTTGATCTTACCTTCACCTTGGTCAATATCTACCTCTTGGGTTAATAAAGCTTGACATTAATGTAATAATTAGTCAATATATGTACGTTAATTATATAATTCCTTTATTTTGGCAGGTAAATTAGCTCTATATCACTCAGCCACTACTAACCAGAGCACATGGCGAATATAAGCAATGTGACTGAATTTGTCCTCTTGGGCCTCTCCCAGAATCAGAAGCTGCAGAAAATGTGTTTTGTGCTGTTTTTATGCTTCTATATAAGCATTGTTCTTGGAAACCTCCTCATTGTTCTCACTGTAGTTAGCAGTCAGCATCTGAACTCACCCATGTATTTCTTCCTGAGTTACCTATCCTTTGTAGACATCTGCTACTCTTCTGTCACAGCCCCCAAAATGATTGCAGACTTCCTCACTGAGAAAAAAATAATCTCCTTCGTTGGCTGCATAGCACAACTGTTCGGAGTCCATTTCTTTGGTTGCACTGAGATCTTCATCCTCACGGTGATGGCCTACGATCGCTACATTGCAATCTGCAAACCCCTCCACTACACAACCATCATGACCAGGCGTGTATGTGGCCAGATGGTGGTGGCCTCATGGGTAGGGGGCTTTGTGCATTCCATGGTACAGACTCTTATAACCACCCAGTTACCCTTCTGTGGGCCCAATGAGATTGACCATTATTTCTGTGATGTTCACCCTTTGCTACAACTGGCTTGTGCCGACACCTATGTTGTCGGCATCATAGTTGTTGCTAATAGTGGGATGATTGCTTTGGGTTGTTTCCTGCTCTTGGTTATATCCTACATTGTGATCTTAATCTCCTTAAGGACACATTCTTCTGAAGGGCGTCGTAAAGCTCTCTCCACCTGTGGCTCCCATATTGCTGTAGTGATTTTATTTTTTGGGCCTTGCACGTTCACCTACATCCGACCTTCTAGCCACTTATCAGAGGACAAGATGGTTGCTGTGTTCTACACAGTTATCACCCCAATGCTGAATCCGCTGATCTACACACTAAGAAATGAGGAGGTGAAAAGTGCCATGAGAAAATTATGGAGCAGAAAAGTGATGTCAGAGGGGAAATCAAAAGGGTGACATGCAGAATTATGTTATACAAACCAGGAGGAAAATGATAATATTCATGAGAGATTTTAAAAAAATATTTATGTCTTGCTTTCAGTTCATCAGTGAACATTCCCCTTGTTTTTTCATGAATGCAGAATACAGACAAACCTCTTTCAGTGATTGCAATGGTTCTATTTTAAATGTTCATATTGGTAAGATTATTCAGACACTAAATTTCTAATTAGTAAATAATGGATACCCTGGGAATCATTCTGTGATGGTGAACATTCAAAAGACTCAAACATTAACCACATTTTACTTAGATTGTAAGCTCTTTGGAGCAGTGGCTGTCTTTTTGTTCTGTGTCTGTACAGCACCTTTGAAATTGGGGCTCTGGCCCATGGTGGGGCTTGTAGCTGTTACCACTATATGAATAAAGAATACAATGATAAAATAAAAATAGGAAAAGCACAGTTCAAGTACACCATCCAGTCAGCCACAATTCTGCCCTCTCCACCTCAACTTCTTTTTAATAGAATGTTTCTCTATATATACACTAATTTATTCCACCCAGTGGAAAACCAACAGCTGACATAGAATCATAGATTATGGTTGGAAGAGACCTCAGGAGGTCATCTAGTCCAACCCCCTGCTCAAAGCAGGACCAACACCAACTAAATCATCCCAGCCAGGGCTTTGTCAAGCTGGGCCTTAAAAACCTCTAAGGATGGAGATTCCACCACTTCCCTGGGTAACCCATTCCATTACTTTACCACCCTTCTAGTGAAATAGTGTTTCCTAATATCCAACCTAGACCGCCCACAATGCAACTTGAGACCATTGCTCCTTGTTCTGTCATCTGCCACCACTGAGAACAGCCTAGCTCCATCCTCTTTGGAACCCCCCTTCAGGTAGTTGAAGGCTGATATCAAATCCCCCCTCACTCTTCACTTCTTTAGACTAAATAAGCCCAGTTACCTTCGCCTCTCCTCATAAGTCAAGTGCCCCAGCCCCCTAATCATTTTCATTGCCCTCTGCTGGACTCTTTCCAATTTGTCCACATCCTTTCTGTAGTGGGGGGCCCAGAACTGGACGCAATACTCCCGATGTGGTCTGACCAGTGCCGAATAGAGGGGAATAATCACTTCCCTCGATCTGCTGGCAATGCTTCTACTAATGCAGCCAGGTATGCTGTTAGCCTTCTTGGAATAAGGGCACACTGTTGAGTCATATCCAGCTTCTCGTCCACTGTAATCCCCAGGTCCTTTTCTGCTTAGCCAGTCAGTCCCCAGCCTGTAGCCGTGCATGGGATTCTTCTGTCCTTGCCTGATAAATATACCATTTTATATTGTATCCTGTTGTTGTAAAGCCATGATAATTTTAAAAGAGAATGAAACTAACCAGATATTAATGGAGATTTTTATCACAAAAGGGAAGCAGCCATCTTTCTTGAGAGTGGGCTGGCTTCTGTCCCCTTGGAATGAAAGGGAGGCAGAGGCCATTTTACTAGGGGCAACCTCATGGCCATCTGCAAAGGCTGTGGAGCAATCCTGGCCATCTTAACTGAGGGCAACTTGTGGTTTCAGTCCTATTGAGAAAAATGGAGCACGGGAGCAATTTTGGAAAGAAAGTTTGAAACTTTACCAGTAAGAACGGCCATAGTGGATCAGACCAATGGTCCATCTAGCCCAGTATTCTGTCTTCCAACAGTTGCCAATGCCAGGTACTTCAGAGGGAATGAACAGAACAGGTAATCAAGTGATCCATCCTCTGTCGCCCATTCCCAGCTTCTGGCAAACAGAGGGTAGGGAAACCATCCCTGCCCATCCTTGCTAATAGTTATTGATGTACCTATTCTCCATAAATGTATCTAGTTGTTTTTTTAACCCTGTTATAGTCTTGGCCTTCACAACATCCTTAGGCAAACAGTTCCATAGGTTCACTGTGTGTTTTATGAAGAAATCCTTCCTTTTCTTTATTTTAAAGCTGCTGCCTATTAATTTCCTTTGACCCCTAGTTCTTGTGTTATGAGCAGTAAATAACACTTAATAAATTTACTTTCTCCACACCAGTCATGATTCATAGACCTATATCATATTCTCTCCCCCCCCCTTAGTCGTCTCTTTCCCAAACTGAAAAGTTCCAGTCTTATTAATCTCTCCTCATATGGAAGCTGTTCCATACTTCTAATAATTTTTGTTGCCCCTTTCTGAACTTTTTCCAATTCCGATATTCTTTTTTGAGATGGGGTGACCACCTCTGCACGCAGTTTTAGAGATGTGGGTGTACCATGGATTTATATAGAGGCAATATATTATTTTCTGTCTTTCCTAATGATTCCCAACATTCTATTATCTTTTTTTTGACTGCCACTGCACATTGAGTGAATGTTTTCAAACAGCTATCCACAATGACTCCAAGATCTCTTTCTTGAGTGGCAACAGCTAATCTAGACCCCATTATTTTGTATATATAGTTGGGATTATGTTTTCCAATGTGCATTGCTTTGCACTTATCAACATTGAATTTCATCTGCCATTTTGTTGCCCAGTTACCCAGTTTTGTGAGGTCTCTTTGTAACTCTTCAGAGTCAGCTTTGGACTTAATTATCTTGAGAATTTTTCTATCATCTGCAAATTTTGCCACCTCACTTGCCACCCATCCCTTTTTTCAGCTCATTTATGAATCTGTTGAACAGCACTGATCCCAGTACAGATCCTTGGGGGACTCTGCTATTTACCTCTCTCCATTGTGAAAACTAACCATTTATTCCTAAATTTAATTGTTTTTTATCTTTTAACCAGTTCTGATCTAGGAGAGGACCATCCCTCTTGTCCCGTGATTGCTTACTTTGCTTTCGAGCCTTTGGTGTGGGATCTTGTCAAAGGCTTTCTAAAAGTTCAAGTACACTATAACAACTGGATCATCCTTATCCACCTGCCTGTTGACTACTTCAAAGAATTCTAATAGATTGCTGAGGCATGATTTCCCTTAACAAAAGCTACGTTGACTCTTCCCCAATATATTGTGTTTATCTGTGTGTCTGACAATTCTGTTCTTTACTATAGTTTCAACCAATTTGTGTGGTAATGAAGTTAGGCTTACTGGCCTGTGTCACAACTATAAAGGGAAGGGTAACAACCCTCCTGCGTACAATACTATAAAATCCCCCCTGGCCAGAGACACCAAAATCCTTTTACCTGTAAAGGGTTAAGAAGCTCAGGTAACCTGGCTGACACCTGACCCAAAGGACCAATAAGGGGACAAGATACTTTCAAGTCTTGAGGGGGGAAGGCATTTGTTTGTGCTCTTTGTTTTGGGGGTTGTTCGCTCTTGGGACTAAGAGGGACTGGACATCAATCCATGCTCTCCAAATCTTTCTGAACAAGTCTCTCATATTTCAAACTTGTAAGTAACAGCCAGGCAAAGCGTGTCAGTTTATCTTTGTTTTCTCAAATTGTAAATGTTCCTTTTGCTAGAGGGTTTACCTCTGTTTGCTGTAACTTTGAACCTAATGCTAGAGGGGGTTCCTCTGGGCTCTTTGAATCTGATTACCCTGTAAAGTTATTTTCCATCCTGATTTTACAGAGATGATTTTTACCTTTCTTTCTTTAATTAAAAGTCTTCTTTTTAAGAACCTGATTGATTTTTTCCTTGTTTTAAGATCCAAGGGGGTTGGATCTGGACTCACCAGGAATTGGTGGGGGAAAGGAGGGGGAATGGTTAATTTCTCCTTGTTTTAAGATCCAAGGGTTTGGATCAGTGTTCACCAGGAAATTGGTGAAAAAGTCTCTCAAGGCTACCCAGGGAAGGGTTATAGTACTTGGGAGGGAGATATTCTGTGGGGGAGATAGACAGAGTTTCCCAAATGACTCATAAATAATTTGGGTGGTGGCAGCAAAACCAGATCTAAGCTGGTAGTTAAGCTTAGAGGTTCTCATGCAGGGGCTGATTGGCAAAGAGGCAGGAGCTCTTTGTATGTCTGCCTGAAGGCACAGACCAGCAACCTGCCTACCAACGCAGCCACTGGAGGCAAGTAAGTCTTCTCCTGCCAAGGGGAACCTGCAGACAAGCCCCAAATGTGGGGAAATTGGATTCGTGGGGCTACGCCCCAAACTAAAAGGACTTGCATAGGGAGCAGCCCAGGAAAACAGGCCCTGAAGCCCTCCTCATGGCTGGGAGAAAGGCTTATCTCTCCTGTTTAGGGGTGAGTGACATAGGACCCTGGGTCAGGACCTGAAGGAGAGGTCAGGTCCCCCTTCAGCCCCCCACAACCAACGATCTAGCCACTAGGCTTCCCGACCACAGAAGGTCCTATCACAAATACACATTCCTAAAAAGTGCTAAGTACAGGGTACTCACGCAAACACATCCCGAAATCAAGTACCAAAACATCCCAATATCAAAAATGGTACAAAACATTTCCCTAAAATAACAAACGCACTGACCCCTCCTAAAAGGTCAGGATAACACTACGTAACTTGTTTATATCAGGGTATAAAAATGTATCTCAGAGAAGATATCTTTGGGCAGCCTAGGGGACAGTGGAAAGTCTTGCCACTGACTGAGCTGCATCATAGAATCATAGAATATCACGGTTGGAAGGGACCTCAGGAGGTCATCTAGTCCAACCCCCTGCTCAAAGCAGGACCAATTCCCAACTAAATCATCCCAGCCAGAACTTTGTCAAGCCGGGCCTTAAAAACCTCTAAGGAAGGAGATTCCATCACCTCCCTAGGTAACGCATTCCAGTGCTTCACCACCCTCCTAGTGAAATAGTGTTTCCTAATATCCAACCTAGACCTCCCCCACTGCAACTTGAGACCATTGCTCCTTGTTCTGTCATCTGCCACCACTGAGAACAGCC